CTGTCTTCTCCTTCTACAATCAGGGTAGGATCTAACAAGAACTCTACTTCTTCCTCTTTGTAGTCATACTCACTGTCTGATTACTAGATTAACTATTAAGCTTTTAGTATGAAATCACTTATCTCACTTAATGATCAAAGTTGATCCACCAAAATTAGAGAATTACTGAGTAGTAATATTTGGACAGAGATATTGTACATTGAATCCAAAAGCACACAGATAAACATCTACAATAAATTGTTCAAATTAATTAATTACACAGAGAGGGTTTGCAAATCTTGTATACTTATAACTTATCTAATTGAACAATTCAGACTGTTAAGTAGTATGTCTGGTTATACAAAAGATATGCATTCCAATTGACTTAATTCTGTGGCGTATCTCATAAATTCCTTTCGACCAAATATAGTATGCCTTTCCTGAGTGAGAAATAGGCAAGAATGCATCCTATTACAATGCTTAGGCAAATAAAACCAAACATAGCTACTCGTGTTGATATTAGACAACCGTGTGCAAGTTCTTGTCTTACGATCGCACCACAATCACCCCCTGCCCCTCCTACTTTGACGTTCACAATGACTCAGACCATCTCAGCTGTCTCTAGCATATCAAACGCTGTCTCGGCAGCAAATGCAACAGAGAACGATGTCTACGTATCCGTCAACGGCGAGCTGGTTCGAAACACCCTTGATATCATGCGCAAGTTCGTAGATCCTTCTGTACCCCCTGTCTCGTATATGGTGTCCTCGGCATACGTCCAAGAACGTCTGACACCTGTTAACGAATTCCAAGATGCCCAAAAAATTGCATTTTACAATCTCGCCAAAGCCTACCTGTCTGCCAACCCATCACTTAGTTCTTCCTATGTCCCCAACTCTATGGCTATTGCACAATCAGCACCAGGTTTTATTGCAAATAGAGACCTTCGAGCCCTTGCCCGCAAGCACAACGAAAAGGTGCAGGAAGGAATGGTGAATTCTTGTTTCGCTTCATAGATATCAATTCATACTTATTTTTTATTTCAGCGTATTTTGCGTGCTCGTACTGAGGAGCATCTCGAATTCGTCTTTTCAGTAAGCATTGACCGCCTTGCAACAGCCAGACGTGGCTCTTCGTCTGTGGACCTTGCAAGTCTCATTGACATTCGCCTCCCTGATGTTATTCCGTTCGAGGGAGCCTTTGCCACTGCAACCCGCCGTTACAAGGAACATATTGCAGCAGCTATTACGGATTACCTTAATGATACCTCAAGAAGGCGTGGATACTCCACTGCAATCATAAAACAGGTGAGTACAACTTTTGGGCAGCTTCAAGCAGGACGATCTTCGTTCCTAGTTGCTGTGAGGAGTAGCAGGTTGAGATTAGACTGACACAATCTACTTAGGCAAAGGTCTTCAACCGTAGTGACCTTGATCCTCTCCCACGTGCTGAGACCCGTCATCTGGACATTGACATTGAGGACATCACAGATGACGAGTCTGAGACTTGTGTGGTTTCGGATGGTCCTTCTGGCTTACAGGCTACTGTGACACCAGACGAGGAGTACTGGGGGAACGACAACCCCCCAACACTTGAAGTTCTCCGAGCACTCGAGCAAGCCGAGTCAGAATATACGTCTACAACAGTTCAGGCAGGCAGTACAGTTGGTGCTCGGGTTGTCAGGGATGAGGGTCCTGGTCGTCGTCAAACCATCTCAAACCGCCGCACAGATGAGGTCGGATTAGATAGCACTCAGGCTCAAATTGTCCAGTCTCATGGTACGATTGTGATTCCGGCTGGGTACAGTATTATTATTGCCTCTCCACCTATGTCCAACAGTCCAGATACTCCTCACTGCCTCAGTTCACCTCAGTCACCTCAGTCATCTCAATCATCTCAGCCATGCATTATAATTGCATCTCCTGAAGCTTCTTCCGAGGTGTGTATAGAGAATTTTACTTGTATTCAAGTATCTTTAACAAATACTAATGTATTCTCCACAGTCCAACCTTTCCAGTGAGGCAGTATCCACCGAAGCAGCACCCACTGAAGTAGCACCCACTGAAGCGGCACTCACTGAAACAGTACCCACGGCCTCTCGTATCAGACGCTCCCTCAGACGTGCACCACGTACTGTGTGTTCGGAAGCCGTTTCTAATAATACCTTCGGAGTTTGAGTGTGCAAAAAAAAAATTCTGTTGACGTGTTACAGTAAGTATGCTTGAACGCCACTCTGACTTACTTCCATGAATGTGCCTTATTTCTATTCGCATTCGTTGTTCTTCTGTGCTTCAAAATGTTTCTGAATTTTTTTCGTCTGTATGTTCAATTGCTATACATTTTGTTGTTTGCTATCTTGTGTATCTTGTCCCCTATCTTCTTGTTGTGTTATTACGCCATGTTGAGCATGGGTATATTACGACGTGCGTGATGACAAAGACATGTAGGTAATGCGCGTGTGATGTGTCAGCTCATTGCTCGCAGGAAAGAAATAAGTAAGGCTTTTTTTATAATTCAGTGCAGTATTAAGCACAGTATGGGGAAAAGACTGAACTCCCTTCTAATTAGAGGGGCTACAAGGGCCGTGTAACCCCTCTAATTAGAGTGGAGATAGCCTGTGCCTCAGGTGAAACCTACACACAGGACAAGTTGTTTGACCAGGACGCGAGAACTAGGGCAGGAGGCACGAGGAATGGAACACATGGGCACACAGCAGTGATACAACCTTCGGAAGCGACGCAAGATCATTCCCCTTGTCCACCTTCCGAATTTACAATGTTTGAGCCGCTGGTTGAAGCTGAAGACCAGGAATCAGTGTGGTCTATGGTAGCAGCATCTCCGTTTCTGTGAGGCAGCACTTCATTTTTGTCCTGTTGCGAAGAAGCTCCAAATTTGTCTCCCTTAGCATCCAACAGACTGTCCCAACAGTCTGCACATTGCGCCTCAGCACTTCCAGTCCCGTTAGATACATTCTCATGTACACTAGGCGCACCACCGACACGTTTAATTCTCTTGATGAGACCCTTGTAAATAGCCTCCATACCTGCAACGAGTCGTCTAGCACGCTCTGGATCTTTGCAATTCATATCACTAAACATAGCCCCAAGATTGCCTCCTGCAGCACTACCCAAAAATACAGTCTTAATACTTGGATCCAGGATTTAATAATGAACTAGATAGTAAAATTGAATGATTGAGAATTTATTATACGGATCTACTAAATACTTTAGTCCAGATTTCATTAATACATTATATAAGCATATTCTTAATACTTGGATCCAGGATTCAATAATGAATTAAATAATAGAATTGAATGATTCAGATTTTGTCATGTAGTTCTACTATGTACTTCAGTCCAGAATTCAATAATGTATTGGTTAGCACAATTGAATGATTTGCTGAGACAGACTTTCATGGGGCTGATTGATTTGAGGGAGACAGAAAAAGTTAAGAGACAATCATTGAAGTAACTGGCAGCAGTGATACAGCTGTTCGCTTCATGCGAGAGAGGAAGTCTCGCGAGATGATGTGTCGTGTTGCGGCTCCGCCTGGAGCAAGGACAAAGACGATATCGGATTGAGCTGCGAGCACCTCAAGCGGGACACGAGTAATTGCGTCAGGTGCAAGGTTGTGCTGCTTAGTGAGTTCAATTATGACGGGATTGTCCGTCTGGGAAGTAGAGAGTGGGTTGCCTGTGTAGATGAAACGTCGAATGCCGAAGGCAACGAGCCGCGCAAGGGTCGCGTGAGCGATACGTCCAAATCCAAGGAAGCCGACGACCTTCCCAGCAGAGGAACCGGATTGGTCAGGAGATGCACCGGGGGTGTTAGGCGGCGGGAAGGCAACGGGCGGAAGTAAACCTGTGCTGAGTTGTTGGCCGCAGAAAGAAAATGGTGCCCAAGACGAGTTCGGCCACTGGATACAATCTAAATTAATGCATGAAAGCTATCTGTTATGGGAATTGAACACACCTGCCCGTCTGTGACCAAGCTAGTGGTAGCTTTGACGTTCCGGGTAGCCATTAATGCCAAGAGAACCGCGATATCGGCAACTGAAATCCGTTATAACATTGGATACAAGTATCCACTATTGTTTGTAATGGCGGCTATCGACGGTAAAGTAATGCACTCACCTGCGTCTGTTAGTACGTCAGGAGTGTATCCAAGGCGTACTCCTCGCCTGGTCAAAGCCGGAATGTCGACATGTTCTAGACGGGTTAATCAAGGGATAAGTACTATCGCATCCGTTTTAGTAATACTATTGACTACCCACCATAACCAACGGACATCGTTGAAACGACTTTAAGGGACTGTCCGGCTGTATAGTTGCACATAGCTGAACAAGGATGGGAAATACTGCAAGTTTGGCTGAGAGAGCATACCCTTGTCCAATAATTCGTCATTGACCTAGCAGGATAAGGATGTCACAGGACGTTATAGTACGCCTGGGAGGCACATACCTTCTCAGACATTAAAAGCGCAACGCCTTTTGCACCAACTATGTTGTCTAGGAGCCAGTTACGGTCGCATGTCCTGTCTTCAGGCCATACTATAAGCTGCATATAGTGAGATAAACATACGAATCCACCACTTATAGGACCTGATAGAACACGCATTTACCTCGATATCCTCGCAGGCGCGCAGTATACCCATGGCATCCGGGCCAAGTTCGCGCGACACAACTACTTTGTGCATCTCGCGGGACTTACTAGAATCGTTACCACTGAGATGTTGAGCGAGAGCAGTCAGTCGTGCAGTGAGAGCCGAGTTGACTGTTGGAACCATAGAAAATAACTTGTAAAAAACTCACATGCAAAGGAACTATTTCAAGAATCAAGGGTATCTGACGGAGAAGAGCGGCCCGGCAAGAAGCTGATAGTAATCTGTAGGTCTCGTGACCGTGAACGCGACGCCTGCAGAGAAGCACGTGCAGTTATTTAATATTGACAATTGAATTGTTTCTGCTTTGCGCCTCCATTTTACCCTACCCAACCCAAAGAGCACAAGCGAATGGCGGCAGAGGCATCCTCGTCATCGTCGACAGCATTCAAGACGTTCTCTCTGGAGAACAGCATTCTTGATGTGCCGCCACAGGACGAGATCTTCCGATACGATGCCGAAGCATACAGAGAGGTTCTGAAGGCGCAGCCTTGGAAATCTGAGTATGGTCTCACTCATTTCTGTTGGCGCATATGCACATCCACCCTAACATGAATAAATATCTCCACGAACCTATTTCTATAGCCCGCACTATTTCAAAACGTGCAAGATATCTGCTGTGGCACTCATCAAGATGGTGCGGAAGTATTCAGATACCTTCATTGCATGGTTTGACTCGCTCATATCGATAGGTGATCCACGCGCGCTCAGGTGTACCGTATGAGATCATGGGTCTGATGCAAGGAAAGGTTGTCGGTGACGCACTTGTCATTATGGATTCCTTCGCACTCCCCGTGCAAGGCACTGAGACGCGTGTAAACGCAGCCGATGCCGCAAACGAGTACATGGTAGAATATGTTAGTGGGAGCGAGAAGGTATGATGCTTATCGTCGTATTATATGTGCGCTCTTGTTGAAAGTACCTATCCGTCTCTAAAAGGTCGGGCGCAAAGAGAACGCCATTGGGTGGTACCATTCTCATCCAGGCTACGCATGCTGGCTGTCAGGCATCGACGTAAACACACAAATCACGAATCAGAAATATCAAGATCCATTCGTTGCCGTTGTTGTACGTCCTGTCTTGCTCCGTCACAGATACCGCTCTAGTTACATTCGCCACTTTCTATCTCATCTAAAACTGACTCGCAGATTGATCCAAACCGCACGATTTCCGCCGGAAAAGTTGATATCGGCGCTTTCCGCACGTACCCAGAAGGATATACACCTCCAGGCGCTCGATCCGGTGGAGGTAGCCAATATCAATCAATTCCACTCGAGAAGATCGAGGACTTCGGCGTTCACGCTGAACAGTATTACTCGTTAAACGTCGAGGTCTTTATCTCAAGTCGCGATTCAGATTTGCTTGGTGCACTATGGAACAAGTATTGGGTCAACACACTCAGTACGAGTCCATTAATATCTGTGAGTTTTCTTTCGTACTCTCGAGCAGAGCTCTTATTGATGACGGGCACCAAGAACCGAGCGTATGCAGCAAGTCAGCTCAATGACCTCGCTCAAAAGCTTGCTAAGGCGCAAAATACTGTCGCTAATACTCGTCCGGTCATCCCAAAATTACATAAAGAACACAAAGATGAAAAGGAGAAGGTATTCAACACTGTTCATATGTTTACTCTATCAAGCTAAAAGCCGCTCGCAATTGTATTCTAAAGGGTAAACAGCCGGAAGAGAAAAAGAAAGAGGACAGCCAGCTCCTGAAAAGCACACGGGATAGCGCGAAACTCGCAGCAGAAGCGCAACACGGACTCATCTCGCAAGTACTGAAAGACGTGCTATTCTCAACACGACCTGGGCAAGGGCGGTTAGATGAGCCGGAGCCGATGCAAGACGGCTCGGAGAAAGAGAGGGAAACGGGGAAGGGTAGCGGCGTGGAGGCGCTGGAGGGGACTGTTGCTAGTGCTGCAGGAGTCTCATCAGTTGCAGCGGCTGCGACTGTGACTCCAGTTCCCGTCGCAGAAAATAACAGTGGACCTGAGAAAGATGCACCCACTGGGACAACTCCGCGTGCAGGTGGAACAGCGGACGAAGATACGCCGATGACATTATCATAATACGTCGATGTCTTGTGCATGTTCAAAGTGTAATATTACAATAATTTCAGCAAAATCTCATTCTTCATTTTTGATAAGTATTTGCGCCACGCTTCACCTATTCACTCCGGGTCAAGAGAAGTTTGGCATAGCCATATATGCATATGTGATAGCATGAAAGGACGGATGATACAAGGCATGCGAACGTATGACTTTTTGGCTCTACCCGCGCCAGTTCGTCTTATCCTTCTCAAAACACCACCAACCACCGTCAAATAAAGCAGCTCAGAAAGTGCTTGGCCTGTGAGCAACGAACGTAGCTTTCGACTTGGTGACACGGTGGGGGAGCGGGAAGTGGAGGTTCTTCTCCAAAAGTTGCTTGATGTACGGGCGACGGACGTCCTCCGCCTTCTTGAGCTCGACCACACGAAGAATCTATACCAGCTCATCAGAAAATTTCCATTAAACCAAAGAAAGTATGAGCATACGTGAATGGACCGGAAACGCGCACGGTGACGTGCAGCCATATCCTGATACAAACTATGCACCGCTTCAGCACGCGAAAGCGCACGGAACTCCTTATACATATTATGCGTTCCACTCCTCGAGTCGTAACGGATCCAAATTCCGAAATTCTTCACGCGGAGGGGACGACGTTCATGGATGATGTTTACGCCAACGATCTCTCCATTGGCTTTTTTAACTTTTTTGAGCTTACGGAGGAAGTACCAGAAACGCGATTTGGCGACGACCTCGTTGATGGCGAAGATGCGCATGCGGTAGAGCTTGGGTGCGGGTTGGGCATCGGTGGGGAGGTGACGGCCGACGACTTGATATTCCTTGAGTGCCATTTTGCAACGTCCTGTTGTGAGAGTGACATCCGAAAGTTAGTTCATGAATCCATCGAATTTGACCAGGAAAACGCCAAGAAAGATGGTTTTATAGCATGGAATGCGTATATGTAGCCCATATAAGCATGAAAACAACATACGAACCTACCAGAGTATCGTCGTACTGGGTCTTGAGGACGTCGTTTGTGTTGAGCAGCAGCCCGATATCGTAAACGATGAAGATTGAGGCTGTGCATTCGGCATTCTCCGTTCGTACTCTCGCTGACTAATCTTTCCTATTTCGCACGACCAGGCATTGACGGGTCTAGAGGAGAGGAGTGCCGGTATTCCCCCTCTCTATGTCATATTATCTGACTGGGTATAATTTTGTAAGATCGTGAAGTCGATCTGAACAAGGCGAGTCACATCGGAATCAGAAGCTTTACAAGTCGTAGTGTCTTTAATACACTACACTGAACCAAGGATGTTATAACAAAGGACGAAGAATGATAATCTATAGTAAAACAATGACTATGTGAACTTGAAATGCACCTGGACTAGAAATAGAAAGTGCTACTAAGTACAAAATGCATGAGAATGACAAGGAAGATACGTTATACATCAGAAAACGTTTAAGTCGACAATGTCACCAGGACTAGAAATCAGAAATACAATAGTTCAGACCAACAAGCTGCAAACTCCCCGATGAACGCACATGCGTCTTTTTACTAATGGCCTTGATTCGTAGTTCGTCCGGGATATGCAAATGCGAGAGATGGGAGGGTGACTACATCTGGGTACGAGACACTGTCACGATCAGGAAATCCACGTACACCAATACCATAGCCCGTGTCAGATTTTGATTCTAAGCCTTGATCCAACAGGTTTCGAGGTGCGACAGTCAGATGGGATGATTCAGTAGAGTTAGCGTCCCAATCCGCCTCGTCTTTCTTGTCATTCTCTTCACTAGACCCAGTGGAGTGAGTAGCTCCGGGTGTGAAAGGCGTAACACCAAACATTGCCTCCGAATCAGACATTCTGCTCCGCGGTGTCGTAAACTGTGGGAGCGAGGCGGTATCTGGGAGAATCCGACGGGTATACACGAAAAGAATAGCGTTGACCAGACCTGAGTAGGTAGCAGAGTCCATTTGAAGTGTGAGATCATCATGAACAGGCCAGCAAGTTAATAAAATAAATGTCAAGACAGTATTAGAACGACAACTCCAGAAACCTGCTTGTGGAACTTACCAGTAAGATTGAATATCGTATCAGTCATGATTGTTGCCCAGAACGGTACATGATGACCAGTGAAAGAACTCAGGCGCGCGATGGCAACAGGGATGATGATAAGGCTATATGCAACCTGATAATGATAATCAAATGGTCGTCTGATTAGAAGTTACCCGAAAATAGAAAGAAACTTCCTTGCGTACAGGGTACCTGATAATGAGAAAAACACCGTAAGGATCAGAACGTTATTACTGGTTGTATTCAAATGGAAATGGCAGCGTACCAGACCATATTCGTAGCAACGTGCAGCATGGCAGTGTCGAGTAAGTCGCGGGCGAAGGATAGTTGCCATGCCTGACTCCGAGTTATCCATCGTAGGTGCCAACGGCCATTGACAATTATGAGATTTCCTCGTACGCGTAGAAGAACAAGTGTATACAGGATGAATCCAAGTCCCGCAGATATAAATTCCTTAACATAGAGAAATAGTCGTCAGAACATAATAGTCAAGTCAGGTACTCAGTGACTTACGATGAAATACTCCATGTACGTTTGTTCCTTAGGATAATTATCCGTGATCCAACACCAATATCCGGACACGCCGAAGTAAGGACCGCGTTCTGGGGTTTCGATGGCGAGCGGACCGAGCGTCACGATAAAGGCGACTATGGTCCAGCCGCAAATAAGCGTAATAATCATACCTGTGCAAGTCGTTTTCCAACGTAGGAATAGCAAATTGAAGACGTGTAGTGCAATGATGAATGACCATAAAGCTGTTCCAACGTTTGCTGCATTTTTAAGACCTCCTTGAAAGGAGCAGAAGGAACCATCAAATACAATGCCCTCTCGAACCCAGCGGGCATTGAGAATTGTGGCTATCGCCTGTAATACGTTGGCCAAAAGCAGCGAAACGAGATATGGGGCAAGGTTCGTTCGATGGAATGTTTTAGTGCGTTTGCTAAACACGAAGTAGTACTATATAGCATTGGACGTGAATGAATGTAACAGAAGTTTATGAATGTCGCTAGCTTACAAGGCATCCTGAGGCTACCGCGGAAATTGACAAGACGCCAGCGATAACGAGCACCTAGAAGCCCCATTAATATACCATGAAGTCATATGTAACAAGTATTCAAGGCTACAGTAACGGCGCTCCTTTCACCAGGAGTATAGATCTGAATTTCGGGAGCTTCGCCTGAAGTATCAAATGACATGTTCTATGATGAAAGCAGAGCTAGAAGGCCGAGACAAGCTGGGACGAAGAAGAGAGAGAACAGAAGAAAGAAAATATCCTGGCCTGCAGGTAGGAGGAGCTCTGTTCGAGGGTATTGAAAGATGAGGAGGGGGCAGAAGACCAACCCATGAAAGTGCGAATTGAATTTGATAGTTATAGGCGTCTCGCATCAGAGTCTAGATGAAGAGTGCCCTGAGCGGGGATGACAAGGTAACCCGACCGATAATTGCACATTATGCTATTGGACGAGTGAGAGGAGCGTGTTGATGAAGGACAACGCGTAGATGCAGCTTTGATGCAATCAGACGCAGAAGCGGGCTCGACCTCACAACTCGCGTCGGTCGTGGCAATTACACTAACAGTACAGTCGTATTCCTCGCCTGCACTCGCCGTCGTCCATCAGAGTATTATTATGACGACGCTAAGGTCTCATCTGTTTGTCACTGTCCATCTCATCCAATACACACCATACGCTGACCCGTCACCCCTGCTAGCTTATTCCACATCCTTGCTATTTTGTCTCTCGAACAAGGCACTTGCCACGCCTTAGTAGATCCAGTGCCGTCCTTTGTGTATCCTGAAGGAGTCTCCTTTTATGCCTCATCTTCAACCCATGGACGCGCAATTACTAGAACGACATCTAATTGGACCAGACGTGCAGATGGAGAGGTAGAGGAAGACGTGATCTGTCACCCCGCTGGTTCATGCGAGGCATGTCCAGACGATCTCGTAAGCGTCAGTCCGTCTCGTATTGCTATTCTCAATTGACACAACACAATTTCAAGCTACAAGAACCATACTGCCAACCATTTGGAAATAGACGTTTACTACACTGTCGCGTGGTCTCTTCCTCCACGCCAAATAACGACGTACAAGACTCCGAGAACGCACCAGACAGGACGGATGGGGCAGCTGAGTCGCCACCATCGCATAATCCAGCTGACCGGCCACCACAGTCAGCTCTTCCCGCTTGGGAGTCTTGTGGAAGGCGCGTACCAAAAGAACGAGCTGATTTCTTCGAGTTCGTCTTGTGCAACGTCATTTTCGCAGCATTGGCTCTCACTGGTGTGCTAATCCGCTCAGAACGTATGAGGGCCGTGCGTGCGCGACGACTCGCAGCGCGTATCGGTGTCGGGTTGCGAAGAGCATCCAGTGGTAGCTGGGCGGCAATGGGAGGCATGGGAGCAGCACTCGTTGGCACGGATGCTCAGAGTGCTGAGGGAGAGGAGCTGATGAGGGAGGATGCTTCAGGATCATGATTTTGGACTTGTGTTGTCTCTCTTACTCTTTCTACCTGTTTGCTTCCTGCACTTCAGAGCACTAGGTACATTGAAGCTGTCGGCACGCGGTTTCGTGGCAATTATAGTTGCACATCTCGTATTTGGCCCCGAGTTAACCTTCAAATGTACGACTCAAGACTAAACGTTTCTGAACTACACGGCGTCATACTCTCATTCAACAAAGCACTTCCACACAAATACTATAGCATACGTAACATGGAATCTACTAGTCTACTCTATGGTTCTTTCTGTGGTGTATACTACCGCAATATTTGGAGGTTAGTTAAATGTCATTGGAACATCCCCCGAATTTCGGTCTTCTTAGCACGACAACGCTGCCTCAACTCTTTCTCGGTTCCCTCGTTGTTGATCTTACCGTCAAGACGATCGACCAAGAGGTTGCAGAAGGCAGTTTCCTTGGCCTTGATCTTGCTTTCGAAATCGAAACTAGCGTGGTGCAAGTCGCCAACCTCATCGACCATGTTGCTGCAAATTCCGCTTACGGTGTCGTCCTGCAAACCATACTCGTCCTTGTCCTCAAAAACTTCTTTTATGACTTTTTTCATATCCTTCACAGTGCTTTCCTGTCGCTGCTTGTTTCTATCCCACACTTCTTCATTCCTTTTCTTTTCTGCTGCATGATCGCGTTCGGTGCCTGGAAGGCGGAGTCGATCCTGACTCCCTCTCCCTTGTTCGGTCGCCCGATACTCCTCCCATTCCCTTCTTACCGCCGGATCACTATGCTTTGCAGCTAACTCGTCTATTGAAACAAATCTAGTGATGGGCACTACATCGTCAGGATTTTGCCGAGGCCAATGGTGATAGGTACTTCCTGATCTTCTATTGCCAGGTGTAGTTGACATGTGCCTATCAGGATCGCTCGCATCGCTGCGATATTCCTTCTTGCGTTGGCGTCGATGGCTGTTGTGTGACATATAGAACTGAACGTGCTGACAGTGTACACAGGGCCTAGTTCTACTTTTCTGAAGGTGCAGCAATATGGGACATAGCACTGTCACCCTTAATATACACACGTGCCCACATTGCGAGTGCATCTTTGCGTTTGGACACACTTAGATGCACCAAAATTACTTTGCAAGTCAACCTAAATCAGAAGCTTTTCTGTGTGTGTAGCTTTGTGAGACTGAGTATAGAATTGTTTTGTTGCAATGGAGTCCTTGTCTGGTGACCTTGACCATACCCACTCTATTGTAATCATCGCTTTGCAATGGTCGGGTCTTCCTGAATCCTGATACAGTAGACGCAGGAATCTACAAAGGGCATGATTGCAGTCCAAACTCGTGCCGACAGGGGAGGGGATACAAGTACAATGAAGAGAAATAACTTTGGTGTCTAGAGCCTTGGAGATCCTTAGAGACGTTTGAACAGGATCTGGTTAAGCAGCATAGACCAAGCATTTTGCCCAAGCCCATAGTCCAATTTAATTCCAAACTGGGCCAAACTTGGATACAGTAAGAAAGGTGCCGAGCGCGTGACTGTGAAAAGTTATTTCCACTTAAAGGTATATTTTTGAAAAGCGCTGGAGAGATATATGGACATAAAATTGTTTATCAGTCTATTAGATCCTCCTTGATAAATATCTATCCCCTCACGTAACTTGAAACTTCTTAAATTACCAACTAACTTGCACCATTACAGAATTACGAAGATTATGAGGACAAGAGTCGGTCAAGACACCTCGATCTTCCTACAAGTGGCGTATCTACACAGCTATAGTTGCTGATGTCCGGTCCCGGACCGCTCGGACTCGGTCCGGACGCAGGACTGGACTGATGGACCGGTCCTCTACAGTCCAGTCCTCATGGGTCCAGGAGAGGTCCGGTCCTGGGTCCATCATTTTGAGAAATTTCCCGGACCGATGGACTCGTCCGGACCCGGACTGGACTCCGGACCTGAATAACCTGAACTAATGTCTCAAATCTCGTTTCCCATATCTCTAGCTCACTATACTAAAACAGATCATACTCCTTTAAGGATCTTTGAATATTAGCTAGCACTTGCATAGTACATTTTACAAGTTTCTGGCAGTCCAAGCAAAGCAAAACTTTATTCCTGTTCTTTACTGTTCAATGTATGGCTTACTAAACTTGACTCTTCCTATCTGGTTATTGTCTCCCGAAATATTTATTCCCTTTATGTATATTCACTCCTCTCCCGTCCTATGCCAAAGACGCTGCAGTCCCAGCCGCCCTCCCCAGTCAAGCAGCCAGCCAATGCCCCTGCCCCTGACAAATTAGACAAGATGTCCGAAATCACTCTCAGAAAGAAGAACGCTGACGCTCAGGCTGCTTTCCGTGCACGCCGTGCCAACTATATTGCCACCCTCGAAGAGACAGGTCCGTCTGCTGCTAAGTACCTAAATATTCATGTTCCGACAACTAAGTGTCTGTAAATCGCAGTAACCAGCTTAGAGGCAGTTGTAGTCCAGCTTCAGGACTCGTGTTGCGAGGCTCGCGCCGAAGCCTCAGA